GAAACAAATATCGAGAGAGTATTTTAATAATAATTCATATTATTTCATAATACATGTATTCATATTCATATAATTGCATTAAAGATTACTTAACTTAAAAAAAAAAACTAAATGAGACATTGGCATTGATACTCAACAATGTACGTTACACTTGGCCCCTTTTCACGTTAAACTGGACCCACATCCGTTATCCTTAGAACTAGCTATATAAAGAAATAACTGTACGGAAGGAAATATTACAACACCATCATTTACTTTTTAGTAACTGCAATTTGGACCAAAAACGCAAAGGAGAAGACATTCGCCATATCACATTGATATTTAATGTCATCAGAGAACTGGTATAACAAGTTTTTATTAAATTTATTCTTTTACACACTGGCAGATTTTATAAATAAACCCAAGAAGTTTTGTTTAAACGTTATGTTTTACTATACGCTTATTTTCTTACCATGTGCAAATGTGTTGCGTCGTAAACTCTTACTTTTTGTTTGTGATAGAGTAAGTAAATAAGATATTCAGGGCGTCCATGGCCGAGTGTTTAATGCCATTGATTTTTATACGCTATGGATTCTAGTCCGACCAGAGTCCTTGAATTCTTTCATCAAACTAGCTAACAAAACGTCGGTGCTTTAACTCAGGTGTCCCGACATTGACGGTGTGATTTGAAACCCAGCATCTAAGATTGTTTTATGTAAATAGTTTTTTACTCCACTTGCCTTCACTTTAAAAAGTGTTAATATCTTTGACCGTTTGATTTCAAATATTCGTTTTTCTTTAAAGGTCAATTATGCCTCTTAAATGCTATCATTTTTATTTAAAAAAAAATCTGTTTATTTTTGATATCTTGTAAACATACTCATTTGCTAGATACTCAAACTACCTTTTGCATCTTTGGTTCTGTTGGAAAATGGTATACCTTTAGTGAATAAGTTTGTCTTATGGAAGTCAAAATACTACTTTGTTTACATTTTGCTACCTTAACGACACATCACTTAATGTTCAGCGCTACCTTTTTCAGTTGTAATAAAATTCTATCATGCGTTTTATCCATTATTTAAACATTATGAAACACATGTTTGACATTTCTAAAGAATTAACACAATATGGATTTCTGAGGCACAATGTGCCTTAATCATAACTTGTATCACTGTATCATTGTTTTTTTTGTTTTTTGTTTTGTTTTTTGTAAGAAGTTATTTTGTTCTTGCGAATTCTTAATAATATTTTCATGAATTAAGTAGCATAGTGACTAAATGTAACAAATACCGCCATATAAAAACATCAGCATTCAGTTAATAAACATCACCATACCAATTAACAAGCAATTATATTTGTTCATCTTCTTTCTAATTACAGTAAAATGAGGGCCAAGACACACCTGAAACTGCAGAGGTCAAAGAACTACTATCGCAACAGAAAAATAACACTGAGCCGTGTAATATCAAATCCCATCAAATGTTCATTTGATATATTATGATTACAACCAATTAAGCATTAGTTCTATAGACAAAAAGTGAAATATTTGATCTTGAATAATTGAAATAAGTATTTTCTATCTCTTTACATATGGACTTTAACTTTCTTTTAATGTATGTATGCTTATGTAAACTGTGCGTGAAACTTACTATTTTGTTTTCGTGCGACTTACTATCCAGAAATTGTTCGTTTTACTTACTATACACTTGCAAAGAACATTTGTAGGCTACATACCTTCGAAAATATATTTTATTTGGACTTCTACGATAACAGATGTTAATAAAATGATTGATTTTGTGTCTTCAGTGCAGAAAGTAAGCTTATTTTTCTTTATTTTGGTACCAAATTATATCGCTTCGTGCGAATTACTATCGCTGAATGTGCAATTTTCACACAAGTCAAGCAATGTTCTCAAAAACCACAAAACGTAGGATAATGCACTTTGTATTGTCATTTGAAGAAAATTAACGCGCATATGATACGCTAGGTTTTGTTTTGATTTAAGAAACGTTTGTCACCTTAATTTAACATAATAAGGTACTTACCGGGGCTCAGCAGTCGCCATTTTCTCGTGGGTATTACTATACAAAGTCACGTGATTCCCCCCCGTGAAGAAGCATGCATACTAAGTTTGTAGTCAATCAGACTTATAGTGACTTATGAGTTATGCTCCGGACAAGCTTTAGGGGACGCCGACAACGACGCCGACACAGACGCCGCCGACGCCGCCGACAAAAGTAACCCTTATATGTCACATTTTCAAGGCGACACAAAAACGTTGATGTTTTTTGCCTTTTTTGTGTGGGAGAGTAGATTTAAGGCCTTTAGATTAACTTTGTTTGAGAAAAAATGAGGTATTGCAATAGTCATGTGGTTTGTTGCTATTTCAGCATACCGGTATCCGTAGAAGTTAAACAATTGTTGATCTTTGTTAGAAAAAAAAGGCGCAAAAAGGCGCAAAAAATCAGGTCTCTGCAGCTAAGGTTAAGGTCAAACAGGGGTTAAAGTTAAGATAAAAAATGAAGATGAGTACAGGAACCATTGAGTCATCATTTATTGAGGGATTGTAATACAAATGTTCTTCTCATGACAAACGCTATGACACGTGCAATTTAGGTCAATTTATGCAAGGTGAAGGTCACTAAACATTATGAAACATATTGTCTTTGTCTGAAGCATATTTCCTATATGGAATAATTTTTATGATAGTTTATAGAAATGTTTACCACCCATCTGCGACATAAGATTGAAATACCTCCGTAGTTTAAATCTAAGACAATCTATGCTATTCAAAGTTTAGTTTGGGCATTACGATGGTGATTGATATAAAAGAGAAAATTATTTTATTTTTATGGCTGGGGGCATATACTGTAGTGTTACCATGTTCCATTATTCCGCCATCATCTGTTTCGGCAACAATTGCATACATTCAACTCAAATTTGTCATTTGGATATACCATAGGAAAATGCTGGTCAAGTTCGAATTTGGTCATGGTTCGATGATTTTTGACAGAACCATGCACATTGAAGAAATTTTCAGTTCCTTTTATTATCTCCCCAACAGTTGTACACATTCAACTCATATTTAACATATGGATACGTCTAATGAATGCCAAGCTCATATTTGGTCGTTGTTAGCGATTTGTTGCCCCTTATGCCCCTTTAACTTTGAGCAAAAAATAAATTTTTATTTTATGTTTATTATCTCTCCAACAGTTGTACACTTTCAACTCAAATTTTAGTTATGAATATTTTATATAAATAAGCTAGTCAAGTTCGAATTTGTTCATGGTTTGACTATTTTTTTGACCGAGTTATCCCTCTTGAAAATAATAAGAAATTTTCAGTTTCCTTTCATTATCTCTCCAGCAGTTGTACATATTCAATTCAAAGTTGACATATGGATACGACAAAGGATTACGTTTGTGAAATTCGAATTTGGTCATAGTTCGATGATTTCTGAGTTATGCCCCTTTAACTTTGAAAAAAAGAAGAATTCTTTCAGTTTCAATTCGTTATCTCCTCAACAGTTGCACTAAAATTCAATATAGGGATATTTCATAGAAATACGCAGGTCAAGTTCGAATTTTGTCATGGTTCGGTGATTTTGGACAAAGTTATCCCTCTTAAACGTTGGAAACTTTTTTTACCTGTTGTCGCACCCTTACTTTTGTAGAAAAAGTATGTAGAAGCTTGAAAATCACATATGCATGTATTTAACCAGAATAGTCGAGTTCGAATTTGTTTTTTTCGATGAGTTTTGACAGAGTTATCCTTCTTGAACTTTGAAAAATCTGAAGTTTGCACTTTCTGCTATAGCATTTGTAGGAATGCATGTCCGACGTTGACACTGTATTTTCTGATATTCAAAATAAATCAAGATTTAATTTTCTCATGATCAGATGTTTCTTAACAGTTATCACCCTTGAACTTGCAAACAAATCACTATTGCTAATGATTATCTCGGCTACAGATATGCAATTTGCACAAATATAACACTGGATAGTTTCAAGGTTTTGAATTTACAGGCATAAGTAACGGACCTGGGAAGAAAAAGTATGACCAGATTAATAAAGAAAACCTGAGTTCATCTTAAAAATAAACTCTTAACTTCAAGTATGTTTTCAGAGGGGTCATAATTTCACAATTTATTAGTTTTAGTTTTAGACACATTGAAGATCAACAAAGGTTTTTATCAATCTGGTCAAATTTTTTCTTCCGATGCCCGATACTCGTGCCTGTGACACGAATGTGGTCCTTCTCCACCAGTAAAGTCGTGAAGTCTCCATCTGTCTTATAAAGTGTCGTTGTTACTTTAACTAATAACAAACAACATTGACATGAACAGAAGGTCATGAGCTTTTAAAGTTTATCAAGTTACACAACTTGGAAACTTTGTAATTGGTCGTGAAATGATTTCCTTCCTGAGCTGACACCACACAGTAATAAGGGTGAGAATGTGCAAAAGTAGCGCAGAATAAAGAAACTGATGAGTGTCTACGGTTTCTGAGATATGATTTTTTTTAAACTTCATTAAGCATAGTTCAAAGACATCTGTCGTACGTAGCAATATTTTTCTTTAAATGAAATAAAAAAGTTATTTTAGCTTTACGATTTCGGAGAAAAAAGCTTTTGCTACAGTCATGTTGTCGTTGCTGTAGCCAATGCTGTTACCGTTGTCTTTCGAAAATTTTATGGTTGGAAATATTTTTATGCAATATCTAAGTGGATTACCTTAATACTTAGACATAATAACCCTTTTGACATGACGGTCCAGCTGACCATACTGAACATGACCTTCCCTCATAAATGACATTGACCTTCAAGGTCAAATGTTTCAAGTTTGCTTATGTAACTTTGTTTTTATAGTTTTATGAAAGAATGGTGAATAGTAGTGGATTAATGCCCTTGATTAGCACAGGTGGCGCTCTGCCTCTATTGGTCCTTCACTGATCGATCGATAACACGCTAGCTTTGACATTTCACCTGCTGACTCATACACGTTTTTATTACTTATTTGATTATAAGTTTGTTTACATTTTAAATGCAATAATGGAGTCGAAATATGATACTTTGATGACGGAAGAATTGAAGGCTGAGTTAAAAAAACGTAATGCTAAGTTATCTGGATGTAAAAGAGAGTTGATAGAACGGTAAGGATTTTTTTTTTATTTTCGCAATTGTTAGCCATATTTGGTGAAGAAGTTAGCGTTTTTGGCATGTTGTACCGTTGTATTTTTTTCGAAGTGCGGTGAATATTGTCTGAAATGAATGTAAATTGTCTGATAAAAGTATTTACAATAATAACAATCATAGTTAAGGTTGTCAATATTGATATTATGTTTACCGTTAATTTTCAATGAAGTGGCTGGGCTGTGATAAAAAATCATGCTCTGTCAATAGTCATGAAAGTAATGCTTGTGTAATAACTATAGATTCTTGTTTTATTTATAATAGCAGTTATAAAATTTAACCCTGATTCTCAAATAACTTCCTGCGTTTTTAATATTATTTTATAATAAAATTCAATATACATACAGAACCAGTTGTTTACTAGATTCTATTTATGCTAGATATGCAGGGTCAGGTCAGCCCAGTTAAAAGTTACTTGGCACTCGATATAGTTTGGCCATATAGAAACTCAACACGGGTCAACTCGACCCAATTATTAATGTTACTCTATATTATTTGTTTTATTGCATTCCAATTTATATTAAACATATTTGTTTCATGTTTTCATATGTAAATATTTACAAGTTAGATTATTAATCAATACTCATTATACTGTATTGATTTTATATTTTCAGACTACAAGCATATGACCGCAACTGTAACTTTGGGCAAGCTGAGATTCTATCTGAGAAAGAATATACAATGATGTGTCCAGATCCCCTTACATACAAGGATTTGAATAGTGACAAGAAAATTCCATGTGTGAACATAGAAGGAATTGAACATTATTTAAATAAGTTTGAAAAGTCTATGGATACTACTCCTGTAGGGTTATATCGTGAGAAACATTTGTGTTACCTGAGAGTATGTTATGATGGCGACCTTTGTTACTTAAACAGTGCTTGTCGGGCTGAAATGAAGAAGTCGATCACCTATCATATAGATATTTGTTTGACTGGGAACAGTGATATTGAAGAGGCACAGTGTGAGTGTGCAGCTGGTATGGGTCCCAGCGCACACTGTAAACATATCTGCACAGTCATTTATGCTGCACATGTATTTTGTAAAACCGGATCTGTTCTTGTGGAAAATACATGTACAGAAAAACTTCAGTCTTTCCACCATGTGAAAAAACCTAAAGGTTCACCTGTCAAAATGCGTGACTTACATATGGATGGAGCTGATGAAGCAACGAATGTTGATTTTGACCCACGTCCACAAAAATTCCGCAAGATGTCCAACTACAGTGATTTCTTTAGGAACACTTGTCTCAATTTTAAAGGAGTTTCAAAAATGCCTATTTTTCAATTGTTTGAGCCTGCAAATGTGCGTGGTTATATCCATGACCACGACTACCTTCAGAAAACACAAGAGGACATTTATTTGGAAAGTCTCCTTAACATTAGTCTTGAAAAAGCAAACGGTATTGAACTAAGAACTCTGGGTCAAACAAAGAACAAGCTCTGGCATGAACACCGCAGTATGCGCATTACTTCATCGCACTTTGGACGGATATGTAAAGCCACAGAAAGGACAGATCTTAATAAGTTGGCTGATGAACTTTTAAACCCGAAACCATTTCATGCAAAGGCTACCGATCATGGAATCAAATATGAGACAGAGGCAGTAAGAAAATATGAAGAAAAACTAAAATGTAAGGTGAATCAATGTGGACTTTTTGTTTCTCATGACTTCCCCTATTTAGGAGCCTCACCTGATGGCATTACATCCTCTGGTGTTCTGCTGGAAGTGAAATGTCCATAAAAAGCTCGTGGTATGGAGATCACAAACAAGACAGTTCCTTACATGAAGAAAAGAGACAATATACTATTACTTAACGAATCTCATAACTATTATTATCAGGTTCAGGGGCAGTTGTTCTGCACTGGTGCACAGTTTTGTGATTTCTTTGTTTATTCAATTGCAGAGACTCAAAAGTGCTAAGAATCCAGCGAGATGATGAATTCATTTCAAGTATGGTAGCAAAATTGCAGACATTTTACAGACAATTTTTTGAGCCGAAACTTTTAAATAAGCATTTTTACAATGATTACAGAGCATAAAGGAAAATGAATTTGAAATGATAATGCTTGATAAATGATCACACAAGCTAAACCTTAATAGAGGCATTGATAAACTGTTATATCAGAAAATATTGAAAGACAAGTGATAACTTAAATTTTGGTAACATTTTATTCAGCAATTATAGCAATATAAAGATGATGTTAATAAAAAAATATAGAATTTCTATATCTTTTTCACAAAAGTCAGCTGTAGCATTTAAACATAAAACTAAGTACAGTTGATAATGGTCTTCATGTATTATTTAAACTTAGTGACTGTAGTTCATGCCAGTAAATACTTTGGTGATATAATATGTACACACATACAGGATACATCCAAATACTTTGTGATATACATGTATATGTATACACTTTGAGGTTATATGACACTACCAGATACTTGGTGATATATTGTATACACTTTGAGGTTATATGACACTACCAGATACTTGGTGATATATATGTATACACTTTGAGGTTATATGAGACTAACATATTACCGGTCAACCAAAAGGTTATTTAACCCATCCCGAAACTTGTTTCTTATGCATATATATCATTATGAAATATGATCTTGAATTGTTTTAAAAATATTAAAATTGTAAATTGATATCAGTTTTTGCTTATTTATTTACTTTGATTCATATCCTAGGCATATTTTGACACGATTCTTAAGCGGAAATTGCATAACATAAAGCAAACATTTAAAATGTCAGATGAAAGTTTTGCTTCAGTCGCAGACAGTGGCTCTACTAATATTTTAAATGTTTTTGCAAGACCAATGACACGCTCAATGTGCACTCTTTTACTGGAGACTTTCCTGTCTTTAACAACAGTTGCAATTGTCATTCTGTTCTTCTTTTTAAAAAAAGTTGGTATGTTGATATGTACATCTCGGGGAGCAAATAAGTCCTGAACATTGAAACCTTTGTCTGCCATAATGCTGTCTTTGGGGCCAACAAGGTTGACAAGGGAACTGCGCTCTGTTATTTGCTTGTCGCTAGTACTTCCTCCATATGCTTCCGAGAGAAATGATTCTTAACCACCTGATGTCCCTCCAACCAAAATTTTGGTTGTATTTCTATTTTTGTATGTTGAAAATGTTTGTTGTTGAGCTTTAGGATTTTTTGGTTTTTTTACTGGACATTCCGTTCCATCTATAATGACACGTGTGGATGGGAATAATTTCTTAAAACCACTAGGGGCAAAGTATTGAACTAGTTCCTTTGATGGCCACATGTCTAATTCTTGCCACTGAAGAGCCATGAATTCAATCCAGGTTATAATGATGTTTCTAACTGCTATGTCAGAACACTTGAAATTTCTGCTAAGCTCAAAGTTGGGTGTATGACGCCTCAGCTTCATCAAAACCATAAAGAATTGATCTGGAACACTAATGGATGTGATTTGAAAATATATATAAGTCAGACAGTATGCAGCCGGTCCTAATGTTTGCAATACAAAATAAAACTTGGAAATGTCTTCCAACCCAGTATAATAATGGACACCTTGAGGGTCATTTCTAAAGTCCTCTATTGTAAATCCTTGCTGGTCTAATGTTTGAGTTTGAACTGACATAAATTTAACTTGTCCAACTTCATCATTTGAAACATCATTTGTTGAAATGCTGTCATTTTCACATTGTATCTCTGTACAATAACCCACTGATAAATCCTCAAGATCAGTGCTGGTTTGCATTACTTCAATATCAGGATTTATGTTTTCCTTCCCTTCTACACAGTTATTTATGTCATCTAGAAGTTTCCGCTTCATTGCTAAACTAGATGCATAACGACTTGAGCGCTCTTCATTTTCAGGTTTAGGTGTTTTCCATGCAAACACACTTGGTACAGCAGTTCTCTTCAAAGTTTTTCTTGACGGGGTTGTCCCTGAAGAAATGAATTATGTATTTTTCATGATAAAAGCCACTTCAAACAAATCAAAATTCAGGTACGATAGTGCAAAATGGTAAGAATTCCAAGATGGAATTGAACGAGATGCCATAGACTGACTCTCAATTGTTAAAGAAGGGGGGGGGGTGTAGTGATTATGAGATAGGGAGAAGTGTAGTAATAAAGCATCTTTTCATAATAACCCTTATGGGCTTAATCTTTGACTAGAATCTACATCTAGATGAGATGAAATGATGGTCAACATTTGGATCCTTTGTTAAAGGTCCCTTCATATGGGTGTACATACAGTATACTATTCTATAGCTTAAAATATTATTTCATTAAGTGAACAAAAGATATGTCTAAAATTCTGAACATCCATTTAAAGGTTTTAAGCTACAACATTGATTAATATAAGTAACAAACCATTATATCTATC